GAAGTGCAGGGCAGACCTGTGCCAATACACTGCCCGCAAGGGCCCCTCTAAGCCCATATCCTTGTCTGTACACAGGAGAAGGGGAGCCTACGATGACAGATGCTGTTCAGAAGCTTCCAGGGCTAGCGCTGGTTTGAAAGCCTGTGACATCTGCTGCTGTTTTCAGAAGACAGTATTTCTCCTTCAAATGTACTATGGAGAACATCTCTCAGGTCTCACTTTGACTAGTTGTGCTATTAAGTATTGAAAGTTCTCAGAAGTTAGGTATTTCTGAGGAAGTAATTGTTAAACCTTCTTTCATCTCAATTTTTTTTTATTGTTGGATTTTTTAGTCACTGTCAATTATTTCTGACAGGACAGTGTTTTGCCTTAAGAAAATAAAAGTAGTATGTTACAAGAAAATCAAGTGTCAAAGAAGATTAAGAGTTAAGAGTGCTTGTCCAAAACATCAGTTTCCCTAGGCAACTGAATACACGAAATAAAATAAAATACAAGCTATAAAGCATTCATTAAATTAAAAAAAAGCCAGAATGTCATTAGTTAAAAATACTATATTGTATTTGGAATCACAAGTTTCTATAATCAGGCACCACATTTGCTGATTCATATGCCTTTTTGGCTTGATTTCCCCCATCCCCATTTTTCTATAAGCAAAAACAAATCAAAAGTAAAATCAATAAAGTAATGACTGTTATAGAAATGCAATTGGCCTACAAACACTTGGTTTTCTACCTCCTTCCTGGCTTTTGTACAGACTGAGATAACAAGTTTATTTTTCTTTTTTTCCAAACATTTTCCATTTTATTACTTTGCTTTCTGCTTTCATTCACTATTATTATCCATGTCATTATCCTCCTCATCACCGTCATCATCATCATTGTCACCTTCTGACAAGTCAAGGTCACTGAACCCCAGAGCCATGTTGACCTTCTTCCCCTTTCTCTTAGAGGTGGTTTTAGAAGAATTCTGCTTGGCTTGCATGTTTATCTGCATCCCAGAATGCAGCACAGCTCCTGCTTTGTTCATGGAGAAGATATCCCCAAAGCCCATCAGCATCATGGCCTGCAGGCTTTGGTTCATGCCATGGCCCTCCCCGTTACTTGTTGCTGTGATCTGACATGACATCTCTGCACTGTTTGACTCCTCTGTCTTAGATTCAAAGTAAGACTCCTCAGACATTCTTGCAGCAAGAGGCAAGAGAAGCTATCACAAGGGGAGAAAGGACAGAAGTAAAAAGAGAAATTAGGATCAATGTAAACAAAGGAAAACAGATACCACAAAATTAGCGGGCACTGCGCAGAAGGTACACGATTAGGGAAATAAATCAATCTAGGGAATTCTGGGAGGATTTATTTATTGGCACGTTTGGCTCCAGGAGATCTGCCATAATTTATAAGTGACAGAATCAATCACAACCCAAAGTTTGCAAAGCACTGTCGTAAGCCAAAATTCAAATGGGGAGGAAGCTGCACATTTTAAGCCTTCATTTTGCTTAAAACAAAATAGTTTTTAGGATTTCTCTTAAGTTTTCCCAATTTCACTTTCATCAGAGAAACATTAGTTAACTAGTATATTAAAAAAAAGAAATTACATGGAGATGAAATCTCAAGAAAAAAAATCAAGAAACCTTGAACTAAAGAAGAAAAGCTTAGAGGAAGCATGGAAACAGCTCAGCAGTCAATATAATTCTAAAAAAAATGTGGGCCAATAATTGCCCTTTTAGCTAAATTAGGATCTATCTGACTCTAAACCAAAAATGAGGCCAGAATTCACTTGTTTCCACTTATTATTTATTACAGCCAGATAAGATATACTAGTTATCCGATTTATGAAACAATTTACTTTTGAATAAATTCTAGATTCTGTCTCTAATAGCTATGTTATAAACAAGTACATAAATACATGTGAAAATTGGGAGGAAAGGAAATTACTGTTAATTTAGATAGTTAATTTTTTTTTCTTTATTCTCTCTACTATGTAAGTTTTCTTCTTTAGCATGATTTTATTTTTAGGAATTCTCCTTTTCATAGTGGATATAGAGATTTATTTTTCTACCTTATGTCATTATGTTGAACAGCAACCTATTTCCATAAATGTTGGTCAGATTCATTTTGGGAATAAAACTGTTTGGCTCAGAAAAGTGTTACTGGTTCTTTTCTTGAGAAATAAGCAAATTAAGGCTTATATTTTTGGTGATGTTTAAATATGGGTAAATTTATGATAATGTACAAATATATCATTGTGGGATGACCTTTACCTTCTGGGTGTAAATATACTTTTGAGGGCCAATTCCCTAATTTTTAAATTAAAGTTGGAGCTGAGTTTTTAAAATATCCTACTCTATTAAGAAAATACTTCTGAGATTGTTCGTGCAAAAAGAATTTCATTGAATTCTTATAGAGAAAACAATGCCTTTAGGTCCTTTAACACTGAAAACAGGCTATTGTTTTCTTTGTGGTCAAATTTCCCAGCTTTGCAAATTTGTTTGCAATTGTTAGATGCTCTCGGGGAAATTCTTTGTTGCTTGTTTATTTTATTATCTCATGGATCCTTCCTCACATTATGTTAAGATCTTAATAAATGTCTCTCAAATAAGCTTTTCCTCTTAAAAGAAAGTTTTTTTTATATCAAGCTACAATAATAATTATAAAATAAACACTGTTCATATATATGTACAGAGAATCCATCTTCCCAAATATCTTTAAGTAGTATTTTAATTTCAGGAAAGAAAATAGTGTCCTTCCTCAGAATAAATCCAATATACAATTTTAAAGGACATATGTCAATTTTAAACTTCTATAATTAAGATTTAAACTTCTATAATTAAGTTACCTACAGGAAACTTAAACCTCCGGCCACTTGCTTTTTAAAAGCTTTATTTTTTTATTCCTTCTCTCAGAAACCTCATTTACGGTCATCTAAAAACTGGTGTGAGGATTAAAGAAGATACCTACTCATAAAGTCCCTGACCACAAACTTTCTTTCCTTCAGAGACACCAGCTCTAAGCAGGAGAGACATTAGAGGCAGGTATGTAAAGAAAGAAAACTCAGCGCTCACAAGTGAGAAAAGGGAAGAAAATCTCGCTGTGATGGCGCTTCATGCTGGCCATTATTAGGCGGTAGCCCTCAGAGCAGCTCCTTTACAGAAAGTTTTCTGCAGTTAAAATGCAGCACAGAACCTACTGGGCACTCACGGTGTTTCATTCTTTATTACACAACCATGTTACTAATAACAGCAAGAACGCGTGCAAGGCAGCCCATAATTTCTTAGCAAAACGAATGCCAACAAACCAAAGAAAGGTTCCAAAGCATACTCTAAGAGGTGGTTTAAAGCTTGCTCTCACAACGCTACATTTACAGTCAAGCCATGCAGTGCTTTATAGCGGAAGATGTCAATGTACTGGAAAAAAACAAACAGCTCAAGGAGATGGCAGATCTCTGCCTCTCACCCGCTCTCAGAGAAGCAGAGCCCCTTACAGGGCTGTCTGATCTGCCCGTTGGCATCAACTCAAACCAGAACAGGATACTTCCCTCTACTGATTTCTTGGAAGCCCGGTGAACGTCACTGAACTTATAAAATGTGGTACCTTTTTAATATCCACGATAGTCTGAATGTATAGCAATCCAGGTTTTACTTTGGGATTCCCTCAATTTTACTTTTCTGAAAAAGTGAAATCTGATAAGGAACATTTACCTTCACTGTATTTTCCCTCTTTTTCGATATCAGGTTGCTTTTCCACGTAAATGGGAAAAGGAGGCAAACTATTTTATTCTTTAGACGCTGGGAAATTCTTTGCAATTGGGCATTGACTGCTTAAGGGAGATTAAGACTTTTAAAAATAGGAAAGCTTTTTGAAGATCATAAAGTGAAAGGCAGTTATGTATTTTTTTTTGGTATAATTGTCATAGCAACTATCAAGAATAAATATAAAAAATATAACAAATGTACTTTGATTCTTACCCTTACTTGTGATTTTAAAGTGGACAAATATGACCCATTAAAAACCTAAAAAAAAAACCAATGATAAATTTATACTGCATTTCCAAAATGATAAATCATTTAAAATAGAAAAGAATGCTGATATTTGATTAGATTTTGTTTATTAAATATATTTTATTGATTTTTTTTTTTTTACAGAGATGATGGGAGAGGGATAGAGTTGAAAACATCAATCAGCTGCCTCCTTCACACTCCCTGCTGGGTATGTGCCCACAACTAAGGTACATGCCCTTGACTGGAATCAAACCTGGGATCCTTCAGTCCACAGGTCGAAGCTCTATCCACTGAGCCAAACCAGTTAGGGCTGATTTGACTTTAATATAACATATCACTATATAAGCTCAAGGTAAGTGTATAAATAGAAAAATCTGTAAAAAGAATTTTTATTGTCCTTGAATTATAAGGCTTGGAGTAAACAGAGATATTTCCTAGGTGTAATAAATATTGGAGATCTTTTACTGCCCATGATCATAATGCTAAATTGAGTCAGGAACATTAATGCTTGTCATTTATAAGTCATTAAATTATCTCTCTTTTAGAAGAAAAACTTGGTGAGGTTCTGACACATCGAAGACTTTCTTAGACAACTAGCTGCCTTGGCGTCTCATTGATTAACTGATGAACTTTAAAGAGCTAAGCAGCATGAAGGCACAAGTTCTGGGTAGCTAGCGGATGGTGTGAAAACACACTGGATTTTATTTTTGTAATTCTAACATATGAACACCCTGACAGAATAATAGTTTAAGGCAAAGAGCCAGAAATAAGAGTAAGCTTTTCTACATTTTTGGCATTTTGTAACTGAAATGAGATATGAGCTCTAGTGGAGTGTAAGTGTGGGCTTTATAATATACAGGTGTTAGGCAGGAAGTGAGGAGGTGGTAGTGGGAGGGAGGGAGGGAAGGAAGAGTTGCCATGCACCATGCTCAGCCACGTCTTCTACCTTCTACGTGAGGGGGTGGGGAGAGGGGAGGGTTAGGTTAACCCTGCGGGGAACACTCACCGGAGTGTTGGACTGCTCCGTTAGTTTTTGCTCCCACATCTTCAGACGTCTTTCTCGTTCTTTGAGCTCCTGCTCTTTGAAGCTGAGGTCACGTTCTAGTTTCTTCAGCCTCTCCAGAGTTTCTTCAATTTCACATCTGCACAGGGATAACTGGTTTCAGTCTCAACTCTGCTCAGTAGTGATTAAATGGGTCCAGCGGAATGCTTAATCAAGGTAAAAAGCTAAAACTCATGCTTTTAAACCAAACAGCAAACTCTCAGAGAATAACACATCTTTCACAGCCTTCAAAATCAATGGGCAGTTTCTGGTTTGGAAAAAATAAACTCAAATACTTTAACAAAGCAATAAAGAGGCGAAGCCATGGGCTGATGTTCTAGTTTAGCCATTTAATAAATGCTTACATTCCTCTGGATATTTACAATTAACAAAGGACAATTTATATCATTTCATTTTATTCTCATAACATTCCCAAGAAACGGTGCTAATCTCAGAGAGAGAGATGGGAAAATGATACTCAAGTTAGGTGATCAATATCACACCATTAGTAAATTCACGTTAGCCTATTCACTGGCTAAGTCAAGTAATCAAATGATTAAGCTGACTCTGTTACCTGAGTTGTTAAGGGGTGGTGGTTATCTTACATCAGGGATTCCTAACTTGCCTGATCCTAATAATTATCTGCACAGCTGGTTAAAATAAACAAACAAACCCATACAACAAAACTTAGATTCCTAGGATGCTTCCTTAGAGCTCATGATTCAGTAGGGTTGGATGGAGTCCAGGAATTTATATTATTTAATAAAAGATCTAGATAGTTTTTACCATCAGGCATGTGTAGGAAATTCTGGGCCGTATGTACTCCAAGGTCCTTTTTAACTCTAATAATTTTAAAAGAAAGCCCCCTCCTGAGTCTGTATAGGCCTACCAACCTCACCACTTCATAGAAATTAGAACTGGTAAGATGGCTCGATGCATTTTTTCCTCTTTCAGGACCACCATGTTTAAGTCTAAACTTATCCTTTGAGAGCTGGATGTTCTTTCCCTTGAGTTTCTGAAGAGCCCATGAGGAAAGTAACAGTAATGAAAGAAAAAAAAATAGAGAGAGAGAGAGAGAGAGAGAGAGAGAGAGAGAGAGAGAGAGAGAGAGAGAGTGAGAGGGGGAGAGGCAGGGGGGAGAGAGAGAGAACCCTAGCGAAGAAAGGCTGGAGAAGGCACCCAGAGCAGGAAAAGGCTGGAAAGAGGTGCTACGTAGACAGCTGTTGAGAGCTGCCAACAGCTATTTCCAGGTGCCATGAAGACAAACCTGCATGGCAGACTCGGAAATTCTGGCTGAGATCTTGTCTATGGAAAGCAGAAGCCCCCAGATCTATGTTAATGAATATATGTGACCAAAATATGCCCTTTTTATTTCCAGGAAAAATCAGAACAAGTGGACAGCTTATTCCAATGTCCTTGTAGATGAGAACTAAACAAATGCAGACAAGAAAATTATTGGTAAATTCCAACTAAGGGAACAGTTATTGAGGTGGGTCTAGATTTAGGTCTGACATTTTACTTCCTTGTTGCAATTTGAAAATTAAAAAATAATAAAGTCACACTATAGTCCCTATGTATGATATCAGACATGAATGTTATACCCATTCATAAATAAGTTTGTTTTTTATTTTTCAAATAGAGGACTGAGGAGGAAAACCTGAGGCTCAACTTCCATAACAAAGAAAAAGCCATCTTCAGTCAAAGAGAGGGAAAGAGTTAAACAGCCTGTGCCCCTTGCTGTCCTTCCTTTTGTTGATGTGTTGTTTTGCATCCAAATGCATTTCTTAATGCACTTATATAACTTTCTTGTTATACAAAATATGTTTTAAATGTTTTAACTGATGAAAATTACATCTTTACTCTTAAATAAAACCTAACGAAGCTTGACTGCCACTACTATGAATTTTCCATATGCTAACAACAGGCGATGAACTATACTTATCTTCCTTCATTAGACAGAAACTTCCTTTGAAATAAAAGGTCAATTAGTAAAAAACAGCTCTATTATATATATATTACATAAGTACATAATGTGTGGATTATATTTATTCTTATATCTTCAATGAGTTGTGCTAATATCCAAATAGCAAAGATGAAATATTTTTGATCTTTGTTTTTAAGAAGCCATGCCCTAGGGAGAGTTTTTGATCACAAGTCAGACCACAACCCACAGTGCTTTGCTGAGACAGAGATCTGAGGCTCCTTCACACACCACCCAGCTCATGGAGCACAGGTTCCCACAGGCCGCAGACGACCCCACGGGGCAATGAAAACTGAAACAGGATGACATATTTTCTGTGCTTAATGCCCACTGCCATTATTGCTAGTATATCAGTGGAGAAGAAACAAGCTGAAGGTGTGATGAGCAAGAAACGCTGGGAAGATTTCTTTCCTATCATTCATTAGGTCAAAGGAAAGAACATAGTTAAGATGGTTTTTAATAACCTAGTTTTAAAAAAATTTCCAGAATCATCATTTAATTTTCTAAAACTGGATAGATGCTCCATTTGGTCTTTGTGTAGTGGAAGCTCAACTAGAAAACAAGCATTTGCCAGAAACACCAGAGAAGGACTGGAATTTGACTTCACTGTGACTAATTTTCAATACACGCTTTGGACAATAGCCACACGGTTTCAGACACCAGACGAAGTGGGGTGGGGGGAGGGAGAGAGAGGAGTGGTCTGATGTGTTGTCTTTTGAAATACCCAGATGATGACAAAACATTCAATTCTTTTCACTACTTGGTAAGATAGCTGTTTTACCTTATCCATAACCTAAAACAATCATGTCCTGTAATATTTCTCTTCGCTAAAAAGGAGCCTGGTCAAGTGAACACTGCACGCTAATAAGTGGATGCTGTGACACTGGCCACGGTCCCGGAACAGTACTGCACACGTGTGTGCTCCTGCAGTCCTGGGCTCAGACCGCCTGGGTTCCTCTCCTGGCTCCATCTTATAGAACATGATTTGGGAAGGTTACCCAGCCTGTCCAGGCCTCGGCTTTTGCATCTGTGATGTCAGGGTTGCTATGTGGATTAAAAAAGATAATCTGAATAAAGTATAACTATCTAGTAAGAATACCATACATGACAGCTGTGCTTATCATTGTTATTCTAATTAATATATTACTCTCCATGCTTTTAACCAATGCCTAAGTTCAGATAAAACAGCTCCGCTGTGTCTCAGACAGTGGTTTAGTGGTCCAGGTAAAGATCTATACTCTCTCAGCTCTCAGGATTAACTCTAGGCAACGATTCACCTTTTACTAAAATAGAATGTTTTACTAATTTTGTTCCCTTATCTTTTCATTTGGAAGCCTTTAAAACATTAAGTTTATTATTCAGCTAATCTAGGTTTCTTGTCGAAAAAAATTAAAGATATACAAATAGAAAACAATCTTCCATAATCTTATTACCCAATGATAACAATGACCTTTTGATATTTTTTTCTATGGACACACAAACATACACATAAACAGATAGCCTCTATTTTAAAATAATTTTTATCAGATCTCTGATATCATGAATTGCTCCATACTACTCTGTGAATGGGAGATATCGTAACTTTTAAAAACCACACATAAACAATAAAAACAAAGCGAATCTCCTTTTTGTTGCACTTCATGCCATTTCCAGTTTTGTGAATCTAAGGAGAGAGGTGTCCTACATTCTTGCATCATCTTCTCATTCATTTTTTTTAAGGAATACCTTCTTCAAAAAGGTAGTGTTTTTGTCACCAGCAAGGCATGAGAAAATTCATAACACTGGGTATTTTCATGATATAAATTTTCACTAATCTGAGAAATGAATTGTGTTGCTTATATTTATTTACTTGATGGCTAAATGAGGTGGAGTATATTTCCGATGTTTCTTGGCCACTGGGTTTCTTCTTTTGTGAAGTGCCTTTTCATGTCCTTTAGTGTGACAGTTTAATTAAAATGTTCTTTTAAACAGTAACTCTGTCTATCACAGTGGTTTTCAAAGTGCAGTCTGGGGACCATGAAAGCTTTTCAAAGAATTTGAGAGGTTCAACTGGTTTTCGGAGGAACATTAAGCAAATCGATGATTTGCTTTTGCTACTCTCCTTCTCCCACTAGTGTGCAGACTCTTCCAGAGGCTTTGTGCCGTGTGACAGTGCCACAGGCTGAATGCGGAAGCAGTGTTTATTCCTTTTTAAATGAATCAATGAATTCATATTTACATTTTCCTCCGTTCTAATTTTGAATGTGATAACTATTGGCAGATGCAAATTTAAGCAAAAGCTCTTTGGTCTCCTCAATAACTTTTCAGAGTGTAATGGGAGTCCTGAGACCACAAACTTTTAGAACCGTTGATCTATCACACAGGACAAAATGCTGTTACAGGGTGGCCTTTGTTTTAGAGTTATATATATGAAGCATGCTGCTGCTTTTGGAGATTTGGAGGTTTTACATTTCTACATAGAAAACTTACTAACGTTTCCCTTCTTTTCTAACTTTGTTGATATACTTTAATAGGAGGGTATTAACAGTAGGATTAAAACCTTACGAATCCTTTGGATCAGCGGTTGCCAACCGGTGGCCCACAGATCACTGGTGGCCCGTGAGGTCTGAAAGGTTTGTGACTGCTGTTTTGGATAACAGATCAAACAGCATTTCCTCAGGGGATCTTTTAATTTTATTCTCAGCCTAATTTAGGTTTCATGGTTATGTGTTCTCAGATGTCCAGTACTCCACTGACATAATACTTCTCAAAACAGTAATAATTATTTGTATACTTATACTTCACTAGACGCCTGGTGCATGGAATTTGTGCACGTAGGTGGGGGGTCCCTTAGCCCAGCCCGCACCCTCTTCCAATCCAGGATCCCTCTCCAATCTGGAACCACTGGCTCCTAACCGCTTACCTGCCTGCCTAATGCCCCTAACAGCCCTCCCCTGCCGGCCTGATTGCCCTAACTTCCTATATGCACTCTCTTCCTGGCCTGATCTCCCCAGCTGCCTATCTGCTCTCCCTTCTTCTCCACACCCTTCAAGACCCCCGGAACAGGCGTGCTGAGATCTCTCTGCCACTTCCTGATTGATCATTATGTGATGGCACCCAGGCCAATTAGCATATTCCTCTGTTATTAGCATAGATAGTTCAACACTGGGCATTCCATGTGCATTGGGACTGACCTGTTCATCACCAATCCCAATACCTAGAAGGTCACCTTGCCCCAGCCAAAGTCCAACGAATATTTGAATGAATGCATGTAAGAACATATTTGTCGGGCAAACTAATAAACTTGCATATTTATATTCTCTTATGCAATACCATACTGTTTTTTTTTAAAAAATATTATTAACACCATTGCATTCTCTTCCCCAAATAGTTATTGAGCAACTGCTATGATGAAGGCACGTTTTAGATGTTGTAAGTACAATGACGAACCTGATGCATTTTAGCCAGTGACACACACATTAAATAAACTGTAACTTACTTATTCATTCCAATAGCAGTCATGGGCTACAACGGAGATGTTCTCTGATAAAGTGGAACCTCATGTAGCCTGGGGCCAGGAAATACTTCCTAAAAGTCATGTTATTTTAGCTGCTTTCTGTCATTAGAGTTGGTGTTTTAAACAGGGATGAGCTTTATTTATTTTTATATTTTTAAGTTAAAATTAAAAAATATTTTTATTGATTTCAGAGAGGAAGGGAGAGAGAAACAACAATGATGAGAGAAAATCATTGACCAACTAGATTAGGTTGCCGCCCCCCCGTCGAGCCCACAACTCTGGGAATATGCCCTTGCCCCGCCACTGAGCCACACCAGTGAGACTTGAAGATGCTTTTTATTTTTAATCATAAAACCCTTTGGGCATATATCTTTGTCCACATCTCTGCTTCCTTAGAATAGGTTCTTAGAGATGGAATTTCTCTGACAAGTGATATGAAAAATTTAAAGGTACCTGATTCGAATTGATTTCTGGGAAGACTGTATCAGTTTACAATCCTGCCAGCAATGTGTGAGTGTGCCTGCCTCTCAGTCCATGTACTTGGAGGAGTATCAGTGCTTTTTTAACCTTCACCGGTGTGATAGGTAAAATACTATCTACTTGATATACTGTGCATGTTCTAAACAGGGATGAATTTTAAACAAACAAAACAAATTATATTTTTTCAAGAACTCTGAGGGAGGAAGAACTATGCACCTTCTGAGGGACTGAAAGCCAGAAATAAGGGACAAACGTTGCTCTTAAGCTGAGGCCCTGGGGCCAAAGTAAAGCGAGTCTCATGAGTCTTATTAAGTACTTTGGCTTCTGTCCTAGAGTACTGGGCACCCCTTCATATGGATTTACTACCTTGTATATTTATGCTGAACTTTTATTGTAGGAAAAAATATTAATTTTATTTATGTTGTTAATTATTTCAGCCCAGAACCAAATCCTCTGCGCCTAGACTAGAGCGGACAGTATTACTTTTGTGTCCCTAAATAAAAATTCACTTAATTGCTGGTCTTTGATAAAGATTTCAAAAGAATAAAAATAAAGAAAGTTATTGCAAAACACCAAACAAACAGCCCCAAAACATGTCTAAGGATAGGAGAAAACAAGTTCATAGTTTTCAAAGCACATGCAGTATTCATTTGGCATCAGCAGGTGGCGCAAGGCGTCTCATTTCCGCCTGGGCTCTCAGGAGCAGAGCTGCAGTTACTTAAGTCTCTGCTGAGTCAGGGAGGAATAATGTCAGCTCCCAAACATGCTATTTATATTCGAGTGTCATGTGACCTGGCTCAAATGTCTCATCCCAGGCTTACTTCTTCCACTCACACAATACCATCTTCTCCTTACTGAACTTGTTTTACACTGGACATAATTTAATAGGATTTATAACATCTAAAGTTTTCTTTCAGAAGTGTTTTTATAGTCTCCCTACCTTCTCCATCAACATACAGTGCAAACTTCCAGGCAAACAGTATTTTTATTTCTCACTGGACAGAGGCCAAAGCTTCCTAACACAGCGTGGACACAGAGAAATGGTAACTAACTGTCCTCTGTCTCAGAAGATCTGCTTTCAATATTGTTTCCGGATACTCATACAACACGCTCAGAGGGAACACTCATTTTTGCTTACACATGAAATAGAAGACTTATTAGATCTCCAGAGATTTTTAACACAAAAACGAAACAAGCCTGGCTGGCATGGCTCACGTGATTGAGCATCAACCTATGAACCAGGAGGTCACGGTTCGATTCCCGGGCAGGGCACCTGCCCAGGTTGTGGGCTTGATCTCCAGTGCAACAGGCAACAGATCAATGATTCTCTCTAGTCACTGAGGTTTCTATCTCTCCCTTTCTCTCCCTTCCTCTCTGAAATCAATAATAATATAAAAAACAAAATAAAAAGCCGCAATTCCTAAGCTATCCTTAGAAATCAGGGTTGTCATTGAGTTTCCCGGTTCTCTCCTTCACCTCAGTGAGGCCCGGTCCTCGAAGCCAGGGGAGGTGTCAGGCCCGCCTACCTCCACTCCGCCTTGTTGTGCAGGAATGAGTTACACTGGTCGGGAAGGTTAGTGTCATTGGACATGGACTCCAGAATCGAAATGATTTGCTTGAAAGACGGCCGTTTCTGAAGAAGAGAAAACAAATAGTCACTTGTTAGACATTCAGATAGATCTTCAAGAGAAAAATCTATAAGCAATAGTAAGTAGCTCAACATATCATGACAAAATAAAATAGGATCTAAAGTTCCGATGTCGTTAGTTTACAACCACCAGACCACTCAGGTTTAGGGAACTATATTCCTTCGTTTCAACCAATTTTTCATAAGGATAGACTCGGGCCCGTTTTCTATCTGTGGCCTACGTTTGGAATAATTGCCGTTTTTCTTCAGATAAGAAAGGTACTCATTCTCTCTTTGGGGTATGATTAAGGACTCCGAAAAGGCAAAAGTTAAGTCCTTTAAAACTCTATGTGATAAAGCAAGCAGGCGAACGTTAATGGCAGAATCTAGATGACAGGTATACCAATTTGGTGTAAAATTCTTTCAACTTTCCCAGATGTTTGAAAATGTGTATAATAAAATGTCTTGGGGAAAACCTACTTATAAATTTACCAGAACTAACAAAATTTCCTAAACCACTTGCTCAGAAAATTTCCCCAATTTAAAAGCCATCCTAACTTCATTGTTCTCAATATTCATTCCACATTGTAACTAACTTTGGTGCTGGAAAATGCTAGGATATTGGTGAGCAGAAATTGAAAAGGAATGGTTATGTGTACTTCTTTAGCTTGCAGTAACTATAGTGGTCTATCTCTTTAGACTGGAGCCAAGGTTGAGAGAAAAGGTTAAACCAGAAATTGAAAAAGATAATAAAAGTATGATGCATATTTTCTCTTCATCGTGCCTCATAATTATAGCATTTCTGAATAAATTACGGTTGCAGCAATTAAAACTTGCATTTTAATTTAACAGCACAAAAACAAGAAGGAACAATGTTGAGGTGCTTGCTCTGAGGACTTGAGTGCATAAGAAAGGCAATTTTCCCATTTCTCAGGAATATAAAATGGAGGTATTTATCCTGAGTCCTTTATTTTTTCTGAGTTCTTTTAAGAGAGAGAGTTGTGTGTGTGTGATTAAGATAGGGCAATATATATATATATATATATATATAGCCTTCTAATAAGCAAAAATGAAAAAATGCTGTAAATAGAAAATTTGAAAAATACTGTCTTCTTTTGACTTTGTCCCCATTTTAATTTCTACCACTATGTGTAAGGCTACAAAATTTTAATTATTTGTATAGGAACAAATTATATAGTAAGTATAGGATTTTCATTTTGCATTAAAAAGGCAAAAGAAATAATGAAGTTTTAAATAATATATTCCTATGTAATCATTCTTATAATAAGGCAAAATTCTTTTGTAACTGGATGACAAGTACCCCTAGAAAAAAATCTTAATTTTATCAATAGAATACGCTCTCAGAAAGAAATCATCAAAGTGAACATATAACAAAGCAACACCAAGGCAGACTTTTGTGGTAATGATAGTTTATGAATATTCTGACTTCAGAAGACAAGATTTGGGCTGAGGTCTTATGTAAGTTCCTTTGAAGGAACTTAATTTCCTTTCAGAAATTATGCAGGCGTTCCTTACGTAAAAAACACAACTAGGCCTTTATTAAGCATCTATACACAGCATTTCTTTAGTTATCTTCACTTCATAGATAAGGAAAATCAGTCTCAGAGAAGTAGCAACTGCTCAGCCACACACAGGAAGCAGACCACAGAGCCAGGGACCACATATGTAACCCTTCAGAAGGCTTTATCACATGAGGGTAAAATAGTACTTCCTTTCAGACTCAGGGCTTTAACTGTTACCTTTTTCTTATTTAGAACTGTCTCTTTAGAACTTGAACCAATATCTACCTTCACTTCCTTCTCTTCTTCAATGAAATAGTTTGAGCCCCAGGGGAAGCCACTGGAATGACGGGAAATTAACCTAAAACCAGCTTGTTCTTGTACACATTTCCTCCTTCTCATTGCAAAAGAACACATTTTTATAGCTGAATATTTTAATCTATGTGTTAATATTCTAAAACTCAAGGGCTGGGAAAAAAATATTTTAACCAATTGTTATATGTGCAAAGGTCTGGCCCCAACTTCTGGTTGAAATGCTGTGTACTTCCAGCCGGAGAACTAAAACAAGCCTGGGCTGGCTACTTCAGTCCACCACAAACTGGGCATCTATTACTCACCTTATGTAAGAAACACATATTAACACTAGCTCTATTCCCTTATATATCCTGCAATCAATTTAGGAGGAAAAGATATTTTTAAAACTACAACAATACAAGGTAAGGCACTAGCCCAGATTGTGGGTTAGGAAAAGGAACACTAATTGTAGGCCAGAGTAAACAGAGTAACCAGGGAAGTGATGAGGGGAGAAAGGAAAAGAAGGGAGAGCAGGCTTGGGGATGAAGGTAGGAGGCGGGTCTGAGGAGCTCAGCAGTGGAGCTGGGATGGTGGGCTGCGGCTGGGTGTATAATGGGACCAAGAACGGGCACCATGTATTAGTTTTATCAAAATAAAATGTCATGAATTTAGGAAATAAAAACCAATCAAACTTTATTTTTATACTTCACATGGCTGGAACACAAGATTCCTTTGGTCCCAAGGAAGTTCAGCTTAGCACACGTTAAAGACATGCCAACTTCACGGGACCAACATGGGGCCTAATGTTCTGTGCTGATGGGTGTGTTTATACTACCACTTCATTAATGCACCATAAAAGTACATTCTCAGAATTTTAATTAAGGTAGTACAGAGTTTCTGATTAAGAAATTCGCAACCTGCTTTGCATACTGAAATATAATTACAATTATAAGGATCTAGTTGTACTAATCTAATTCAATGCAAATAATTTCAGATGAAATTTCTATTTAAATGTCAGAAGGGAAAATACTGATGAAATTACTGTATATGCCACAATGGATATATAACTGTTAGGAAGAGTATGAAAAGGGTAGTATTCGAATAGTACAAAATAACTGTTCTACAGCAAGCTTGCAAGGAGCCACTTATAGTTTCTACTGGATTAGTTACAAAGTGCAGGCCTTTATCTTAATGCTTAACAATCCCCATATTCTGGAAAATCTCACTCTCAAAGAATAGGGCTGAAACAGGAATAGGGCTGACCACTCAAAACCTATGTAACTTGGTCACGGAATACTACTAAAAACAACAGCTATCCTAAATATAAATACCAGCACTCTCCTTGTTAAAAGACAAAGGCAGCTTGATGGACAGGAGTAAAAGCAAAGGTGGAGGCTGTTGGTAATGAGAGGAAAGGCAAATGCTCAAGGTGGCGTGGAGGGGGCGGTGGGGAAGTGGAGGAACCTCAGCAAATCCTCCTAAGACAAAGCGTGGCAGCGGCAGCAGGGGCAGGCAGGTGGAAGGGGCTGCGCTGCTGGCCGCACTGCAGTACCTGGTGCTCAGCTGTTCTCACCTGGTGATGCGGAACAAAGTGCCGGGAAACATACATATGACTCATCGGGAACTCTGAGTTATACTCACACAGTTCCCATACTCACCAACTATTTACGCGTTATTTCCACTAGAGAAACATGTACTATATGTTAGCATTCATTCCTCTTGAGGGCCAGACTGGAATTGGGTTTAAATTAAGGAAGAAATTTCATCCTTATGTTTTTACTTAAATAGATCTCTATTTAAAAGGTCAGGATGCATTAGAAATATTTCCATGAAAAAACTGGACAAATTGAAACGATAAAATTTTAGTTCCTTTCTTTGAGTATAACTCTCTTACTATAGGCAATGTTTAATCTGTGAGACTCTTTATTTTTAACGTATTATGGAAAATTCCAAACATTCACAATGATAGAATAATATAATGAACCTCCATATACCTATCACTCAGCTTCAAAAATTATAGCTAATCTTATTTCATTTATACCATCAACCATTTCCTTTCCAGTTATTTTGAAGCAAATCCAAGACTAGCCTATCATTTTATCTATAAATATTTCCGTATGTATGTGAGAGTCTTTTAAAATGATCTTTGTAGGGAAAGGAAATGGGCCATTCATGCTTAAATGTGATAACCACATGAAAGCCGAAGTTTGGAATTTCTCCAACTCCATTGTGATTGTCTAAAAAACATCACTGAAACTGGACAGGAAGTAGGTATCAAGGTTCTCTCCCAGGGCTACTTCTGGTCTTTGGTTACCAGGGCGATAGAGCATAGTGGTTAAGAGCAGGACCCCTGTCAGACTGATTGCCTGGGTTCATGTCTAGCCCACCACGTCTTAGCAGTGTGGCCTTGAGCTCATTATTCTACCTCCATGTGCCTTGATTCTTCATCTATAAAATGAGGATAATGAAGGTACCTATTTCATGGAGCTATTGTGAGGAATGAGTTCATACACATAAAGTATTTGGAACGGTGCCTGACGTATAATAAGCACTGTGTGCTAGCCATCTTTAAAACATGAAGGTGCAATAGTTACCATTAAAGATGAAAAAGAAAGGAACAAATTTCTCTTTATTGAGTCAAGAATGCTGTAAAAAAGACCAATTTTATTGAGTTTCCAGGGGTCAAGATAAGCAGATGTGAACAAAAAGCCTTCACAGTCAATCTGGGGAACAGCAGCCCAACTTTGCTTTGTAATAGATTTGATGACCCCTCTCCCCACCCCCAAACTCAAAGCCCAACAAGTGAAATTCCAGAGTTCGGAACAGCAACAAACACACATAGACATACCTTGGCATCAGCTTCCCAACACTGATGTAACAGTTCAGCAAAACTTCTGGGGCAGCTGCTTGGAATGGTTAATCTCTACCATAGAGAGGAAAAGCAAAATAAAACATAAGGCTTCACTCATTAAGGAAAGCAAGTACTAATTGAAGGGTCATAAAAGAATTAAGAGCATGAACTAGGCATTGCATTTAAATTTTCCACTGATTAATATAAGACAAGTGAGAGTTTATGTTTAGAGTCATAATCTCTAATCTCTGAAGACACTTGTACTTTACCGCAAACATAATCACAGTGGATAGAGAATCAGGTTCAGCACAACAAATGCTTAACAAACAAACAAAATCAAGTCTAAAAGAAACTACAGAAGGAGAGGGGCAGACTTAATTACATCCAAAATCTAAAACCACAAATCTATGACTGTACTTTTATAGGCAACCGTGAAATATGCAAACAGGTCGGGCAACTCGGAAACCAGTCTGGTTTTGGCAGTAGATGGACCACTGTGAAAACATCTCTACAGACAGCCACAGAGACAGTTTTAATGAAGTGCACACTCTGCCATTGGGAAATAGGACGTTCTGAATGCATGGTTCATTATGGCTTCGTTTTCGTCAAACTCATAAACAGTAAGGACCCGGTACAACAAAGATGACGATGTGAGGGTCAGTGCTGTCCTGACGCTCTCACAGAACACACAGTGCTCCTGGAGGCTGGTGGGAGCATTTCTGTTTGTTTTAAAAACTGCTGGGTTGCCCCTGGAGCAGATCAAGAATGCAAGCCATCCTTCAATATGCGGGGAAGTCCTACTTGATTAATAACTCGCTTATATTCCATCGGACTTCAAGTGCCCCAGGTGCATTCATGTCAGTAAAACAAGGGAACAATGAGGTTTACAATTATCTGAGCCCAGAATCTAACACTGACTTACAAACAAACACAAAGTATGTTTTTGAATAGCTTTTAAGTGCACTGAATGTTCTAAGAACGCACTTAGCAAATGAAATAAGTCAAGGGCTGAGTTTTGCATTAAATAACGTTTTGGAAAATGTCACAGACAACAGTGTTGCTCACACATGGTACTGGAGTCATTAACCCAACTCTATCTGCCTGTGTAGCTGTTGAAGTCTATTGATCCACAGTGCCAGCGCCTAAAGCTGCTCCAGGACCTCACCGTGGTCATGCCTGCACATTCACACACTGCAAGTGCAATACACATTCCATTCATTTCTTCTTTATATTCCACTAGGGCACTACATTGCCTTAAAATCTAATGTGTGCAGGTAGGTTGTATTACCTCTGAATTTCACTTAATGGAAGTAGAGATGGGCATTAACACATGCTTATAAGAAGCACTGGGGGTGCTGGAGTTGAGAACTGCTGTACTAAGAAGTACTGGAAACATTTATTCCACAGTATTGTTTGACAAAGAAGCTTTGCAAACAGAAAACTTAAAACTGAATGGAGTAGGTTGGATCGGGGGAGGCTATGTGTAAAAGTAGAAGAATTGTTGCCTCGGCAAGAAAACAGACAATCTATATTTGGAATTACAGATAACCTTAAAACAAAAATAAAATAACAAAATAAATAAAATTAAAAGTTCTTTCCGAGTTGGAGGCTATGCTAAGCATCTTTTAACTTCCAGCCTAGTGATTTCATAGAATAGAATACAACATACTGGTAATAAACTGTAATGTGAACTGGGACCTTTTGATGAAGGTCAAAAGAAAAATCAGGTGTTTACTTTTCTTAAAAATAAGATGGTTTGGGTGGCAATGAATAAAACAGACAGTAATTGCAATTATGCAACTGAATGTGTCTCATGTGTAATGAAAAATAATTTTTTATAAAGGATAACATTTGAAATACAACTTTACCTCAACATTTTTCCCCCCTAAGAACTGAAATGTGAACAGAATGAATATGGACATTGATCATTTCTATTGTCTTTTCTTACTGACAAACTTTTTAGATACCTATCTGGGACATTGTACAAGGAGACATAATTATTTTAAATGACCTGGCAAGGTCAGTTAAATCTAGACTCAGGCTTTTAAAAAATATATGTTTTTATTTATTTCAGAGAAGAAGAGAGAGAAAGCAAGATAGAAACATCAATGAGAGAGAATCATTGATGGGCTGTTTCCTGCATGCCCCCTATTGGGGATTGAGCCCACGACTTGGGCATGTGCTCTGACTGAACTGAACCATGACCTCCTGGTTCATAGGTCAATACTCAACCACTGAGCCAAGCTGGCTAGGCCACATCTGTCACATTTAAGATATTTATTATTAATGCTATCTTAATTACATGCATTCTATAAGGATTCATTGTTTGATTTGTAAAGTTTAACAATGCTTTATGTATCTAGCTTTAATAGGATTTAATATTAGGAAAAACTATTGTTTAAAGATTTTATTTCATTATGTAGGGTTTAGAAGCAAAGACCTTCAGATATAATTTTTAGACAGTACTGATCTTCCTATAGATGCAAAAAGTAACCTTAAATGGTGAAACCTAATAAGGTCTACAGTCTTATTAAGAGTGATGTTTCAATGTCCATTTCCAGACTTTGCTATACTATGCCTATGTGTCACCGGTGGGGGAAGGTGGGGGAGAGTGCACAGAAATTCTTGATATTTTTCAACTTCCTGTGACTCTGTCATTTCTTCAGAATAACATGTTAATAAGAAAAGATAGCCCTAATATTTAGATGTAGGTATACTGTAGGGTGACTAGTTCCCATTTTAAATATTTCCCTGGAAATTTAAATATACCATCCTTTGTTTAATGAGGCTTCTTTTTAAAAAAAACAACACAGCTTTGTCTTTTCAACTCAATAACGCAAGACATCTTCTTCAATGGCAATGAAAACTACATTTATGCTTAATTTTCATATTTGTGCCAAATATTGTGCATAGTAAGGGCAGATAAATAAATATATTTGTTATGCCCAGTTTTCCTGAAGTTCATTAGAAAACTGAGAAAACTTATTTCACCTTATGGGTTTTTTCAACTTATTAGTATATGTGATAACTACAATGTGGGAAGTATTTGAGCAGTCTCCATCAGTTATTAGCTGATCATAAGATCACACCATAAAACAGTAGTCTATTTAGGGGGTCTCTGGAGGTAAGAGGGAGATGGCCTCCTTGTATACATGTTGAGGAAGTTCTGAAGGTTATGGATGATTCCCAGTCAACTATTCAAAGGCACTTTCTAAATTCATTTTTCTCTCCAGCATTAAAATTCCTTGATGGACACTCCAATGTTTTGAAAATGCTTCAAATTTATTCCTATTCTGCCATCCTTTAGATGAAATGTTACTTAAAAGATTAAGTATGCTATACATATTTGGAAGGTCCAGTTTAGCTTTAAACAAGGTAGAGAGGAAAAAATGATATTGAGTGCTCTGCTCCAAAGTCAACCGAAGGTCAATAATTTTCTTCACTCTCATTTGTAAACCCAGAACCAAATATCTAATCATCTTGCTGGCAAAAGACACAGAATAGAACAAGTGGGTTTTCATATCATGAAAATATCAGCTCTCTTGTATGCGAGGCCTGATTTCATAACACAACAGGAATTACTCCCACATTTAATTAAAACAGAGCAGTTCCCGTGAAACAATGCATAAGACACATTCTTGAAGGTAACTCCTTTTAATTTTTCTTAAATTGGCAGCGCTCTCCTATCAAGTTCAGTTATCACGAACATTTCATTCATTCCCAATGGCTCAGGAGGACAAATTAATCACTCTGGGTTATGTGATCTAAAATACGGAAACCTGCTTTCTCTTCGTCAATAGCAGCTGTTTGATTAATCAGGTTAGTTCCTGCACTCACATGGGGAGTAGATCTATCTAATTCCTTTAAAGCATTAACAAGGGACTCTCTCTCTATAGATATTCATCTTTTTGCAAATTATTTTATCCTCAGGTTACCCTCGTACCCTTTGTAGGGGGCACACACCAGGCCTGGAAATGAACAAGTTCTGTGCAATGAAGTGGTTTTGCATTGCAAAGGCCACCGCGTGCTTCCATGACCTGATCTAAGTTCTCCTAATGCCCTGGTAACTGGATGCTTCATCCGTATGCTGAAAATTTCCATGGCTGCGCGTTTCAGTCACAATTTTAAACCTTTCAAAACGGAGTTGCTCTCTTTGATATGAATGTACCATGTCCTCTGATGTAGGCTCATAGGTCCAACTAACTGAAAGCCTCAATTTGTGGGAAGAAGAAAAGCGAGGCTGGGGACACAGCACAAACGGTGTTTACGCCACTGAAGTCCTTTTGAAATGGAAAGGCTCTGCATGAAGAAGCGCACAGTTATGCCACTGCCTCGGCAATTCCAGCGAGGAGCTCATCTTCAATGTAGTGCTCAACGTAGGTGGCAAAACTGTAATTTTCCCCTTTTTTGAAACTATTTTTTCTTCTTTTATTTTTGAAATTCTCATCTAAGCGACGGTTTCTTGTACTATAGTGACTCCTGCTGGGAGAGGTAAGTTGAAGTAGCTGAAGGTCTCTTACAGATATATCAACTCCCAGCCAGTAAAAAAGATGTCCTAGACGCAGGAGATGGAGTTAAACTGTTCCCCTACCTTGGACGCAATGGCTTCTTTCATCACTAAGAACAAACCCCTAGGTTTTACAATTGAGACTGAGAAACTAGTACAGTACTTGTACAATTTTTGATCTACAGCATCACGACGTGAAGCTGCAACAATTAGATGTAAAGGGTCCATTCATGAGGAATAACATCACTTTGACCCTTTGTGTTAGCTCCTACTGCTAATCTTTCCATAAGCGTGAACTTACTTTCAATTTGAAGAAGATGAAAAAGTCTTTTGCAAAACCCCAATACTGTTTTCTGATCTATGTACCTGAATGGAGAATCGTAGTCTTACCTCGTTTTTTTCCACTACAAGCCAAGCTACTTGTAATCCTTCCAAACCTTTAAAGGGGACCTCCCTTGTTAGCATCTCCCAGAGAACCTGGAACAAAAAGAAAATGGAATTTTTATTCTTGTACTTTATATTTTGGCATATTACTGAAACTTTATGTAACACTTAACTGTATCCAATTACCAGACATAACCAATCCCATCTGTAGGAACTTGGGCAAAATGTATATATTTATGGATAGGACTCCTTCCATATATTATATACATTTTTTTAAATAAAAAATTCAGGTTTAGAAATTAGAACATCTAGAGCCAGACTTCAATTTTTATGAGAACAATGGACTTAAGTGATGTAACTTTATCTTGTAAGTTATTAGAACTCTCACATATACCCATAAATTAGATTCTATATTTTGTTAGTTAAAACTCTTCCCATCTTCAATCTCTGAGATGTTTCTCTATAAAATAAATAATGATTAGGAATTAAAACATTTTTAAAGGTCCAATATGGTCTCGTCATAAAAAAATCTAAATCATTGGCCAAACCACTTATTCCATAACAGGTACTTGCAAAAATGTAACATTTAGATTTTGTATTTTGGAGAAAATCTCAAAATGTGTTAGTCTAAGGGATTAATTTTTATCCATAATTTGTTAATACTATATTCTAAAATATAATAAATACTTTATGTACATTATAGACTGAGAATGTGTGTGTGTGTGAGAGAGAGAGAGAAAGAGAGAGAGAGAGAGAGAGAGAGAGAGAGAGAGAGAGAGAGAGAGAGAGAGAGAGATCGATGTGTGTGTCCATCTTGAGATCAGCATGATTAATAAATTGGCACTGGCATGCCCAAAGAAAGCAAAGTGATTCTGGGAAGGCTGAGAGCAGCCAATAATTTTGATTTTATTTTAAACATTAAGTATTGAAAATTTTCACGCCCAGTTATTTTCTCTACTTATACACTTAAGCATCAAAATTTGAGTTTACCAATACTTTGTGAACTGCAAAAAGAAACATAATTATGATTTTATCAATAATAATCCTAACAACCACTATCACTGATTGACTGATCATGTCCCAGGCACTGTTAAACTCTTTAGATATGTTATCAAGATTAACACGGACCCACTGGAGAGATAGAATCCTCATTTTACAGATGAGGAAACTAAGGCTTAAAAAAGGTTAAATAGACTTGCCCACGACACTCAGTTATCAGGTGGCAGAGCTCAAACAGGAACCTGCTGTCTCACGCTGAAGGTCAAACACTCAACCCAGTGTAACCCGCAGCAGGAAAAGCCGAAGCACAGGGAGGAGACATGCCATATTTCAGGGGTGGGGCCATGGCAGAAACAAACTGAGCAGTTCTGATTTAAATTTATCTGGTTCCAAAAACAAACAAAATGTCTAAGTAAGAATACAGACTGAAGATACATGCTGCACTCCAGCAACTTCTATAAGCCTTTCGCTCTATATCCTCTATTTCCTAGCTCGAGGCTAGGTGAGCCGTACATATTATTCGAGCCATAACATTTTCAATGGATTCTGGCTGATATGCAGGTAATTAGCAGGAAAATCAGGGAAATTGGCAGATGCTGCTCACGCAGGAGAAAAAATATTCGCTGAAGCCTCCTTGGGCTTTTAATCAAATGTGTGAGGTACTTCTCTGGAGGAGCTACTGAATAATTCTATTTGAGGAACAGAAGAGATCAGGAAAAGGTAAGGGGCATCCCAGAGGAGATGATTCTAGGGAAGACTATAAGTAAAGGAAGGACGAGGCAGGTATGCAATCACACCTGACGATCGGCAGGCACAGGGCAGGGGCAGGGGCAGTGGTTTGGAGAGGGCTGAGCAGGAAATGAAGCTCCTCACTTCATTGTATTTACCGCTCCCTTGATGTTGGGTTTGGGGAGGGGAAGAATATGAAGCGAAGTAAATTAATGGACTTGACATTCCCGAGGAGAATGGGAATCGGGCTCAGATAAATCAAATGCACCAGGTCGAAATGCTCAGATGAGCAGCCTCGTGCCCCCCTGTCGGAGGCCGGCCCGCACGCACAATATACTGTGCACGTCCAGACAGGAAGACGGGCCGGGTTTTGTGAGGGAAAATGCAAAGCCAAGAGCTCGGGGAATAACAGCAGAAGGAGATTTATGTCTTTCTTGATTCCAAAGTATGCAGCTGGAAAATGTCCAACATCTAGTAAGATCGTAGTGAATGCTTCTCTGAGAGTTCTAACTCTGGGAAAATAAGAGTTTCCCTTTCCTCCCTCTCCATGTCTCTAAAGAGCTACTCCAGCTAAGGGAGCCACTCGGTGGAGGAAAACCTATCATGGATGGCGTCATGAACCACTCAACTCTGAAGCCCAAAGGGGGTCCGCAGTCTGATTCCAGGATCAGCACATCCCCTGACTTCCGATAATTAACTCACCGGATCCTGGAATGCATCAGAGAGACGGAGGTCCGAGACAGGACAAGAGCTTTTCCTCCACTAAACACCATGACATTTGGCACACAAAAAGGCAACTTTGTTGAGGAAGTCATCTGGAGGTCTAAAAATATATCCGACGCTGCCCGAAAATATCAGTGATGGGGATACAGGCCAAACACTGTGACCTTTCACCCTGAACCTATTTTCCAACTTGTTTTATATGGAGGCCCCTTCCCGTCTACACTGCTCACAAGGAAATGTTCTATTTTCAGTTTACAGAAGAGAGACTTGGACCCGGCGATGCACTGTTCCGCCGTGGCTTTTACTAATAACAGGGAGCCATTACCTGGGCTGCCCGCTCTGGAGCGGGGCTCACAGACCAGACCAGCAGTGACACGCGCTCTCTCAACCTCTCTCTTATTCTCGAACCCGGTTTGGCTGAGCAGCTTCTCAAAAGGTAATGCTTCCTGCGCTGTCATCAGGGAAGCTTTGTTTTTAGAGAGCGCCTGGTCTGTGTTCAGAGGCTGCTTCTGCAGTGATGATTGCTTTCCTTGAGTGTGTGGGTAACCTACTGACTACTCCTGGTTTGGCCCTTCGAGAGCCATGGTCAGAAAGAGGTAGAAAAACCTCTTCTAAAACGGAGAGAGAAACAACCGCCGGCCTAGCAGAGTGTACCAGCTTGGAAGGAAGGATCACAAGACCCATTCCTGGCATGCGCAGCCCATTTATTTTAGGGCCGGCTAGTCTTGCCATGTGTTCAGAAGCAACAGGATTAGCAAGCTGGGGAGGGGGAGGGACTTTGATAATATTAGCGGTTACATTCCTACAGCAAGTCTAAAAAAGAAAAAAAAGAAAAAGAAAAAATATATTCGGAACTTGGAGGTAGGTTTCCAAAAAGGACAACTTTTTAAAATGATCTTATTCATCTGTCTGTTGTGTGTATGTGTATGTGTGTGTTTGGGGGTGGGGGAGTAGCTCAAAGAACAGAACAGAGTTTTAATATATTATGGCGCCCTCCCATTTACACTGAGATGCAAAGAGATGCTCCTTCTGAGAAATGAGTCCTGGCTACTCACCTAGTTTTGAAAGGATATCAAAAATTCCAAATAACCACATTGCTTCCCTAGCTTGGTATCCTTCTCAAAATTTATACATTGCCAACTTCTGAAACCAACCTAGCCCTTCCCTAACCACTGTCCTCTCCTGCTTTTAGGCAACACCTACATTGAACATAGAATACCTTCTTGGGTTATTTATTTATTATTATTATTGATTGTTTAAACACAAAGGCTCTGGCCCTAACCGGTTTGGCTCAGTGGATAGAGCGTCAGCCTGTGGACTGGAGGGTCCCAGGTTTGATTCCAAACAAGGGCATGAACCTTAGTTGCGGGCACATCCCCAGTAGGAGGTGTGCAGGAGGCAGCTGATCGATGTTTCTCTCATTGATGTTTCTAACTCTCTATTCCTCTCCCTTCCTTTCTGTAAAAAAAATCAATAAAGTATTTTTTAAAAAACAAACAAACAAAGGCTCTAGAAAGCAGGCCTGGTACTTTTTCTTTCAGTAATGGTAGTTTATCTAGAACAGAATGTGGGAAGGGGTCAGAATTCAATAAAAGGCCAATTTCCATTTATTATTAAATTAGGATATATGCACTTTTCTGAAAGGAATTCAGCCTATAGAGCTATGAAGTAAGCTCTATTGAGAACTCTCTTCAATACAGTAAAACAGAGCTGTTTTAAAACAGACTCACTGAAAAGGCATTTCTACTTTCACCCTAACATGAATGTAAAACTCATATTCAGAAGCAGGTGCTGAAATTAGTTACATTACTTGACAGAAACATTTATTAAGAATTTGTTAAATCCCTCAAAAGAAAACAAAGTCAGGGGCAGTAAACAAGTAGGAAACCTAATTCCCAAAGAGAAATGCCCAGGCCTGACAACTGGAAGGCAATGCACAGTCACTGGAAGGAAAGCTGTTAAATAAGCCAGACTGAGTGTCTGCAGCTCCGGAAAGGTGGTGCAGACTGTTTAGCATGAGGGGGTCTATGGGTGAGAGTGACAGAGGTTTTAAGTGGAACAGGAAGAAATCCCGAGCTCCGCAAACAGGAGTCACCTCTCAGCATCCTTTGTGGTTTTCGTATGAAGAGGGATTTGTGTTTCTTGGGGGCTGCAACTAAGATTCTCCTTCCGCTGAAGGAAAGCAGGCGGGCCCATTTCACACTAATGTCCCTGCCACAGTAAGCCGTTAGAAGAAGGCAATGGGTGCAGTTTGTTTTCGTAAATGAAATGATACTAAAACCAAAAGCTCACCCTATGCATAACTCATAGTCGTGTCTTTCAGGTGTAAAACTTCTGAGGTCAGGAAATTCCACGAGGTGAGGAGCATTGTAAAAATGAAAGTCCTGTATGAAGACTGTAGGGCGCTAAAATGAGCCTCAAGTCTTAATGCATGTAAATGTGCAAAATCATTTAAAAACTATAACCCCCCAACTATGCTGGCGTATATTTATGTGCATGGGCAAGTGAAAGCAGTGAGAAGTGTGGTCTTTTTTGAGTCACGCTGAACTTTTCTGCAGCCGTGCTGCTCATTTTCCATCCCTGTTGTTCCACAGAGGGGTCTGCAAAAGGAACGCAGACCAGCGCTAACATTTTAAAGGGTTTAAAAAAACAAAACAAAACAAAACAAATACAAAACACCCAACACACATGCAAAATGCAATAAATTCTATGAATGGCCCTCAAAGTCTAAACTATTTACTATCTTGTCTTTTATAGACAATGTTTGCTGGCTCCTGCTCCCCTGCAATGAAGTCCTGTTCCAAATAATACGCTTTACCATTGACTTAGATACTCTACAGTCATGTCGGCCCAGGAAAGCTCTCACCACAAGGTGCCTCAGGCCCAGCACCAGCTCAGGTTCCATCTAAGTTGCCTCTTAGAAGTGGCACTGGCTTCCCCTCATCAAAGGACAAAATAGCTCAGATGCATAAAAGTGGTCAAAGTAAACATTCTAGTAATTACACTGTGCCAGGCATTCCACAAGAAACATCACTGTCTTAAAACTGTGCTAAATTGTTGCATCCCACTTCTGTGGTTTATTTGCCTTTTGTACTTCCTTTAGCAACAAGAAGTGAGAAATGAACTCACCACACCATAGGAATAGGTGTCACATGTTTCAGACACAGGAAGACTTTGGATAACTTCTGGAGCCATCCACGGGAAAGTTCCGACCAAGGACATGTGTGTTGTATGGTTATGGAACCGAGAGGCACCAAAATCGCAGATCTGAGAAAAGAGAAATAAGTATCAACTTTCTATTTCATGACTAATAAAAAATACCATCATAAACACCTACCTCTGAAATTCACAATTTTTTAAAATTAAAAAAAAATAGTCTTACCTTCAATACCCCATCAGCAGCAATAACAACTAGAAGAAAGAAAAAAGATAAATTATGAAAATCATCTACTTTGTTTATCTTATACTCAACTACCATAAGTTCTACTTCTATCGTCCATATAGCATCATGATGGGTAAAATTAAAGCGGTGACTGTACTTTGAAAGATTCTGAAAGAAGGAGCTGACATGAAAACAAAATCAAAACAAGAATTCCATGAGGTACTTAAGAAGGCTTCTAAGACATTAAGTTAAACCAAATGTGGTACTGCCCAGCAAAGAAACACAGATCAGTAGTAAAGATAACCAAATTTTACTTTGAGTTCTGCGCTAGGCCATCAACAAGGTACTGAGGAAGTCAGTAGTATTTTACTTCATAGTACATATGTTTTTTTCCTCACAAGTGAAGAGTAATTTTCTTGAAGGCAAGGACAATATTCATTCATTCAGTTATTCATACATTCATTTACTTAACAAATGTTTGCTGAGCAAAGCCACGTGCTCCATTCTATCGATAGAAGACAAAGGTAAACAACACTATCCTTGTCTCTACTCTATGGAGCTTACATCCTAACGGGCGAGCCAAGAAAAGACGCATCTACGATAAAGTGGGAGAAATTCCGTGCTGAAAGGAGAGAGTGCCATGTAACTGACAAGCGGGGGCAGTTAACTGTAAGCAGGTCAGAGGAAGCTTCCTGGAAGAAATGGTGCTTATGCTAAGACTAAAAGGACAAATTGGGATTAACCAGAGACTAGAGAGCTGGGGGAGAAAAAGTCGTTTTCTAGGCAGAAGGAAGAACCTTACAAAAAAGGGCAGCAGAGAAACAGGCATGCGGTTTTGGAAGACAGGGGCCAGTTCCAGAAGACCCTCTGAGAAACATGGAAAGCCAGTGAATGACTTTTAGCGGAGGAATGAATGGTCAAATGTGCAGAAGGGAGAGTATGTTGGAGAAAAACGGAACTGGAGGCAAGGAGACCTGTGCGTGCCAGATCTATCTAGTCCAAGAGAGGGATGAGGATGCCTGTAGGGGACAGGGCTATGTGGACCGAAGTCCACAAACATGGAGGAGGCAGAACCAACTGGGCCTGTACAACTGGACATGGGGGAGAAGGACTCAAGGATGCAATCAAATAAGGAGGCAATAGAGTATAACAGTTGAACAGGAGCTCTGGAATCAAGCTGTAATTCCTTTTCATCTAATTCCTGATTTAGGCAGCTGGCATTGCCACTTCCTGAGAAAGGGAAGGCAGGAATAATTTTTTAGGGGAGAGAAAGAAGATGAAAAGATCTATACTTTGGACTAAATACATTTTAGGGTCACATCAATCGTGGTCACACCCAATAAGCAGAGAGATATATAGTTTTGAAGTTGGGATCTGTTTGGGAATGTTAATATGCATATGGGGCTTTTATAGGAGAGAAAGAGAGAGAAAGTAAAAACATAAAGAGGGAGAGGAGTCTGGCTAGTGTGGCTCAGTGTTTGAGCATCAACCAGGAGGTCATAGTTCAATTCCCAGTTAGGGCACATGCCCAGGTTGCGGGCTCAGTCCCCGGTGTGGGTCAAGCAGGAGAGAGTCAATCAATAATTTTCTCCTATCATTGATGTTGCTATCTCTCCTCTCCCTTCTTCTCTGAAATCAATAAAATTTTTTTTTTTTTTTAAAGAGGAAGAGTTTGAAAAGGACTCTAAAGAATGAAATGTTTTTGGCTTTTTTTTTTTTTTTTTTTTTGTAACTCATGCAGTGTCTTGAACATGGTAGATGATCAGTACTTATTGGCTGTTCCTAATGACCTTGATAACTGGGAGATGGGTTGGGGTAATCTTTGCATGATCTAATATATATAAATAGGCTAAGGGTATAAACTACTTCAGATAAAAATGTAAATATCGATAATACTATATTCAGTTATTTTAAAATCCCTCTATTACTTTTTTATTATAATATTGAAAGTACTCATTTTTAAATATCTAAGATTATAACAACTTATAATTCAGAAAATAAAAGTTTTGTTATTCCCTCTTCCAGGAAAAAAGAAGTTAAAATAGGTCTAAATTGTTTCAATGTGTATGTGTTTTCCCATCAAATAACTATACAAATTGTAGTTTTAAGAAATGGGGACATTCTCCATTGTTATTTAGTTTTCATGGTGACAGCATGAAGAAAACACACCCATAATTTAATCATTCTCTTCTCATGAAATGTTCATGATATAGAAACAAAGCAGACTGAAAGGAGAGAAATCAAATAACTTGCTTAGAGAGAAATTCTGAGTAGAACTAAACATTTTAAAGCCATAAAACTCTAGTAGTTCCTACAAGATTCTAGATTATTTTTAATGACTTCCTGCTAGCCGACTATATGTCAAAAGTGTTTCGCGCTTGAACTTGAGGTCTCAGGACAGCCAGAGGATAAGTGATAACCTAGAAGAAGGGCAGGACCATGAGCCACAGCCCACTGGCAGGGCCAACCCGGTGGTCCAGCCTGATGAGTGGCAGCTGCCAACAACATCCCTTTCCCCACCCCCGGAAACCTCCCAGGCCTGGGATAGGAGCAAAGGTAGAGGTTCAGTTCCCTGCTCCTCTCCCTCCACTTACCATAACTGCCCATTCTAAGGATGGCACTATTAGTAGACACCCATTTTAATGGCAGTGATTTAAAGTGTTCCTAAAAATAAAGAGTTCTCTTCCTGCTTCCTTAGAAGAATCCCGTAGAAAGCATGTAAAAAATTCAACTAAAACATGTAATTGAATGGATAGCAAGGTGCTCTTTGCAAGTAGCAAACGCTGATGTCTACTTCAGCTAGTGCTGGCTCGCGATATAATCCCGCTGCCTTTTTCCATTAACTTTCAAGTGACGTGATGGAAGAACCATTCTGTTCCACTCCTACTTGAAGGTAACTTACGCCTGACCCTGCAAGTCATTTTAAAACACTCTCTCTCCATATTACGGGATCATAAATAAACTTTAGAAAGTTCTGAAGGAGAGAAGAAAGAAAGAGTAAGGCTTTAATTTTAAACTCCTACATGTGCTGATCACTTTTGGGCACTACTCCAGGTAACATGACTGCCATATAAGATTTACACCAAATAATTCAGAATATAACAAGGACAAAACTCAGAACCACTAGTACAGAGAACCGTCTAAAAATAGGAGACTAGAAATACATGTTGTGGTGCTTTGATCCAGCAATAGCTCTTTTCAGAACACGATTCTAAAAAAATAATTAAGGATGTGTTGAAAAATTTTGCTGAGAAGTATTAAGCTCAACATGTTTTTTGTCACAGAAAAAAATGTAAACAACCCATATATCCACCATGCACTATTCATACAGTGAAATACTATGTAACCTCTTCAAATAATATGGAGAAATTTGATATTTATTAAGAGTGGAAGGATTTTCATGGTATCAGTGGTTAGTCAAAACAGCAGGTTGCAAAAGATATGAAAAGTATGATTCTTATTTCTATACACAGGTGCATGTATTTTGAAATACAATAGGCAAAATAAAAACATTTACCGTTTCTTGATTTGAGATCTCTGTGAATCACCTTGACAGGAGCTTCCATATGTAAATAGTGCATTCCTTTTTATATGGAGGGAAGAAAGGCTCATTAATACTGATTTTCAACAACTATATCAATATTACCTTTCTATTTTAAACATCAGCGGTAACATTCACATTTTGCAAAGGATTCAATAAAATAGAGGGAAGACAAGTCTACATTAGGCCTGATAAAATAGAGACAAGATGTGTCTACGGAAGGAAGACATATGTCTTTGATCTCTTGGAAGTTGGAATTTGATTGTGGGTAAAGTTAGCTTCTTACAATACCTAATAAGGGCACCTTAATTTCTGGAGTCTGCACGAAAATAGCACAGTTACAACTGGAAGAATTGTTCCAATGACTAAGGTATTCCACTGCCTTCTAAATCGGTAAGTTCTGACCGAGGTGTTCTGTTTTCGTTTGGATGTCTCCGGTCACCCAGCTAGTTGCAGCTTGGCTTATTTTCCCAGTGCTCATTCCAGTGAGACCCTGGAAGTGGAGGTGGGGCTGTGAGTGAGTGTGTGTGTGTGTGTGAGTGTGTGTGTGTGTGTGGGGGGGGGGGGGGGGAGGGGGGACTGGCTGGATTCCTCAGCTGTAGTTGCTGAAGGATTTTATGATCCTCAGATAGAAAAAATATATAGTAGTTACAAAATATTTTATCCTGAGATAATCTATATTTATAGGCACTCCAAATTCTTCTTCAACATGTTTAGAATATAAATCACGTTACTTTAGTAAATTGGATCCACAGAAATTAGTTTTATTATTTTGAATAAAAAATTATACTTTGAAAAACACATATTTCACACTCACCCCTTTAGTAGTGTTCGACTCTTTTTCTTTCTTTCTTTCTTTTTTTCAACAACTGTATCAATATTACCTTTATGTATTGTCTACCCCATTAGAATAAAGATAAAGAACATTTTCTATGGAAAATTTTCCCTCCTTTTATTTCTCACTTTGTCTTTTCTAAGTAATAGAAGAAATAGCTCCTCCCCTTTCCAAACCAGGCTCCCTTTTGAAATAAATTATCTATTAAACATCATAGGCTTTGGTTCTTTTTTAAATACACAGAGAAGTTCAATTTTATAAAGGTTAATTGTAAAAATAATCTATCAGGTAGAAACATGATAATCTGATTATTACATATTGAAGAATCATGAAAGAACAAAGAATATAAGAGAATTTAAATTCCTGCCATATAAAGATATTCCTAAAAAGAGTCAACTTAGCCGAGACCAGTTTGGATCAATGGATAGAGCGTCAGCTTGGGGACTGAAGGGTCCCGGGTTTGATTCCAGTCAAGGGCATGTACCTTGGTTGCGGGCCTATCCCCAGTAGGGGGTGTGCAAGAGGCAGCTGATTGATGACTCTCTCTCATCGATGTTTCTAACTCTCTCTCTCTCTCTCTTCCTCTCTGTAGAAAATCAATAAAATAAAAAAATAAAAAAAAGTCAACTTAACAAAAAAATATTTAAATGATCCTAAACACAATGTAACTGGAATAAAGGAAATCTAATATGAAGTTTTGCATGCTACAAACTGTGAAAATTCAATAGCTACAACTTGGGTAACTTTTAATAATTTTTATGACTGTAATTCAAAGTTCTCTCTCTCTTGCTTTACGAATCAAATTCCCGAATTACTGTTTTCAGGTAGAACTGGTTTAATTATTATTAGAGGTACAAGTAGACAGTACCTACACTTGTGACAAGTAAGGATTTCAAAAACAACAACACTCAAGTACAAAAGCTTTAAATATTGGCAGTTTTCTCCTCATGGCAGATACTATGAAAAGAAGTAGCATAAATTATTGTGTATAATACACAGCACACACAGAACATTTAGTGTTCACAAACATGGTAGTAATCATAATCATATAAAATTCTATTTAATTTGTTTTTATAGTGCCATCTGTAATTCTGCCTTATTTTTATTGTAAACTATTAGGAAGGTTGAAAATACCTTCATCTGTTTTTTAAGACTTAGGGTTTCCTAAAAAAGATCTGACTGGTGTCATTTGGAAGAGATTTGGAATCAATGATGGCCATTTTGAGACTAGATACAGGTTTATCTGCTTTAATTGTTCCTCTTATACAATGCTCACTGAATTGCAAAAATTTCAGATATACTTGCTGGCTTGTCCTCCTCCACTCCTCTCTCCAGCCCTGATTCCACCCCAAAGGAAGAGAACCTATTTGGTTTTGAGAGGCATTCTCTCTGCAGTGATGGTGCAGTGCCCATGTCAAAATGCATGAACCAACTCTTGCTTAAAATGAATTATTCATTCTTTGATTTCTCAGCATCTTGTTACTATAATGCTTTTAATCTTGGTCAGACTGAAAGGTACATAGCTGAATTTGTAATGGAATAAATAAAAATCAAACCTTCCTATTTAATCTCCAACTTCTACATATAGCTTTATCAGAGAGATCTGAAGTCATTCCAATAGCACTGACTTCTTCTTCCTTTTATAGACCATCTTAAATAGGAAGTATGACTTGTAACTGTAAACAAACAACTGTCTTCTCTGCCTCATTCTACTGAGTGTTGGCCAAGCACATTAGAACTCAGGATTCACTAGCTGCGAAAACGTGATCTTATTACTTTGTAGTTTTGGACCCTGTCCCATGATCCACTCCAATTCTCTCCATCCCTGTTCTTTGCCTCTAGTTCCAGTTTGCTACTAAGTCCTGTTTCTTCTCCTCTTTGTCCCCTGATATAGAGTGCCAGGAGTCCTGAGAAAACTCAGGAATGACAGGTGATCTGGAGCCAAGGGACTACCCCTCAGACAGGGACTATGCAGGGGAAGGGGCCAGGAGGGACGAGGTTTACAAGCTGGGGGCCAAGCAAGCTTAAGTAGAGTGTGCACAGCAGGAACCAGAATGACTGATGTCAGCTAGCTTATTGGCTATCTGTCCATCCTAAGTGCCATCCCATATAATAAAAGGTCAGCAACAGTAATGGCGTAACGACCAGAATGACGGATCCACCAGTCGCTATGAGATGCATTGACCACCTCTTGGTCCTTCCCTCCAGCCCACAGGCTCTGATGGCTGGATGGCCAACAAGAACCATGGGGAACCTGGGTAGGTGGTGGCAGGGCGGGACTGGGGACCAGTGAGTGGGCAGAACACTGACCTCTTGGTCCCTCACACTGGCCTGCAGGCTCAGATCTATCTCCCAGCCAACAGGAACCAGGATAGGTGGAGGTGGCGGGGAAGGACTGGGGACTGGTGAGCAGACAAAAGATGGTCCTGATTGTAGGCGAGGCCTAGGGACCTTACCTGTGCACAATTTTGTGCGCCGGGCCTCCAGTTAAGTAATGATATAGGTGTTATAGGCTGAGTTTACCCCTAAATGCAAATATCTGTAAGGTGAAGTGCTTTAAGTCAAGGACTGCTGATATAGGTACTTACATTCATGTCAGTGTATTTCCACAGTGCTTCCGGCAGTTCCCAGTAATAATAACCCTGCTTACAAACAGGCAGCCCCTGTGTACTACTGACATGCAGAGAAGTGACTGTGATGTTACATGAAAATGTCTTGAAGAATGTGAAATTTTAAGGCCTGAATACACAATTAAATTAATTAACACAGCCAAAGCCTTAAGTACACAATCCTAAACATAAAGCTTATTGTTTTTATAACTTAATGAAATATCATTTAGCGGCAGCATTTAGCAAGAAACTTAACCCCCCCCCCCAAGTTTCTTTATTTGAAGAATTTGGTAGGTGGTGATGAAACTTAAAACAAACAAGATAATTCCCCAAAGGAAAGACTATTGTTACTTTTGGAAGTCACTGTAGGACTTCCGAGCTTATAGAATCTGGAGTAGCAAAACTCAAAGGAGTTAATTGTCCCAGTAATAGGCTTTCTAGAGTTGTTAGAATACAAATATAACTATCAGTGTTCATTATTTAGATTATGTTGTTTCCAAAGCAACTTTGACAGTTAAAAATAAAACTCAGAAATGTTCAGTTGGGAAAATGGAAAAAAAAGATAAAAATAAATGGAATTTAAATTGCTTCAGAAAGTATTAGTCTATGTAAGAATTTATGAGGGAAAAAGAACTGGGCACCTTGTTTAAGGATCTTGTGCATTAAAAATATATAATTTCCAAGGGTGATTTCCAAGTTTACATTAAATATGAAATAAAATCTGAATTGCTTGTACATGGCAGCACAAATCACAATTTTTTGCAAGTGGTTACTATTTTTAGTATATTACTATGTATACAAAATGAGTAGAGCTAATCCTACAATAAATCATGTTTCCTGCATACTGAATCTAAGTAGAGACTTGCAGAACAATAACAGGATTATGATCTTTCCATTTAATTTGTCAAGCAAACTCATCGATTATATTGGTAAAACCTGTGGTAAAAATGGCTGTTCTGGAGACACTGGTTTTGTGGGGACTTGTTTTTAGGGAAAGAAATAAGTAAAAAGTGGAAAGAGAGAAAAGAAATGCATGAGTGAAAAGGCAATGACCTAAAATATTACCTATACAGTAAGTTGCAGAATTCTTGCTACTTTGGTCTGAAAAAAGAACTTATAAAAAACATAGAATAACAAATCTTCTGACTTAAGTCACTATGTCAGGATGGGACATCCACTGATTGTGCAAGAATTCATGAAGGATTAGGATTACCTTTGGCTACATCGGTGGCCCAGGTCATAATGTGTTCCATGTCCATCTCTTCACTTCTGTTACTGTTAATGTAATCATACAGTGATCCCAGGGAAGCATATTCTGTTTTTAATGGAAAGATAAGCATGTAAGTAAAAATAAGGGGCATCTCATAAATAAACATTTATATTTTCATTGGGAAGATGTATTAAAGAACTTAACAAAAGATATCAAAAGTACATAAAAATATACTTTTCTAAAAGTGTTTTCTAAAAGTATAAAAATATACTTTTCTAAAAGTGGTTTCTAAAAGTTAGTCTTATCCTGGAAAGAAAACTGTCCAAGACAAGCACTAGCAGAATGAATAGTCAGACTTCAGCCAAGGATAAAATCAAGTCATTTAAATAGAACTCAAAAACACAAAAGTGTATTGGAAGAATGTACTGGAAGCAAAGGCAGACATGTAAAGAGGTATTTCTTTTAAAATGGCTATTCTTATAAGATAGATAAGACTAAACACAAGTCAGAGTTTATATGACAATGTAAATAAATCAAGCTTTCTGTGCCAGAATTTAGACCAGCCCTTAAAATTTAGCATAAATGGCCAAGAAAGTGAGACACCTTTAAAAATGCCTCTGAGGTATAAGTTACATACCATAAAGTTCACTCCCTCTAAGTGTACAATTTGATAATTTTCGGTAAATTTATATAGTTGAGCAATCACAACTACATCCAATTTTTATAACCTTTTCATCATCCTAAACAGTTCCCTGTGCCCATTTACAGTATTTACCACTCTCATTATCTGCTTTCTCTGTGCCTTTTCTAGATATTTCATATAATGGAGTCTACAATATAAGGGCTTTGTGTCTTTCTCTGTGTTTATAAACATTATAAACACGTAATGTTTATAAGGTTCATTCATACTGTAGCACGTATCAGCACTTCATTCTTTTTTATTGCTGAATAATATTCCATTGTATGGATTTACATTTGGTTTGCTCAATAGGTATTTGTACTGTTCCCAGCTTTTGGCTATTATGAATAATGCTGCTAAGAAAATTTTCATAAATGTCTTTGTGTGGAAATATATTTTCATTTCTCTTGGGTAGATTCCTAGGAATGGAATTCTGGGTCATATAGTAAGTTTAACTTTTCTTGTAAGGCAGGATTCTTTCATTCTTTCTTTATCCAAGAATGTATTTATTTTGATTTCATGTTTAAAACATAATTTTTATGGATAGTTTTTTCTTTTAGCACTTTAAATGTTTTCTGCCTTTTGGCCTCTATTGTTGTAGATGAGAAGTTAGTCATTAATCATATTGTCATTCCCTTATACATGAGACATTTTTTCTTGCTGCTTTCAAGAATTTTCACTTGGATTCTATCAACAGTTTGACTATGATGTTCTTTTGCCTTTATCCTACTTAGAGTTCGTTCAAGTATGTAGAGGAATGCATTTTATCAAATTCAGGATTTTTTTTTTTGCCATTATTTCATCAAGTAGTCATCTACTTTTTTATTTTTATACCATTCTTCTCTTCTTTCTTTGCTTTATACATTAATTGGTATACCTGATGTTGTCCCAAAGGTCTTTAAGGTTCTGTTAGTTTGTCTTCAAAATTTTTATTTTTTCAGATTAAATAATTTCCATTGACGTAGTTTAAAGTTCGCTGATTTTTTTCTCCTATCTTGATTATGTTAAGTCAATTCTAGAGAATTTTAAATTTCAATTATTGTCTTTTTAAACTCCAAAATTTTCACTGGGTCCTTTTAAAAACATTTCTATTTGATGAGATTCCCTATTGGGTGGTTCACTGTTTTCACACTTTCCTTTAATTCTTTAAAGTCTCTTCTAGTTCTCTGAAAATTGATGCTTTGACGTTTTTGTATGTTGAATTCAATGTGTTAATTTAAAGAGGCAAGGTTGGTGCTATCATCTTCCAACCCATCAAACTTGACTCAGTTAACTTCTACCCATGCATTCAGTATGGCTAGATCCTAATGCTGCAGAAGGTTGGTTGAAAAGTTCACATATTGTTTTGGTAGATACTTGTGAACAAATAATTTAAACTAGCATCTTTAAAAACAAAGATAAATTAGTACATTTAAACACATCAAAATTTGGGTAAGAGGTATCTTTAATAATCAACCTCATAGGTCAATAAAAGAGCTATAAACACACAACTTACAATTACCTCACAATTTTGAAACTTGTGTTATTTTAAAGAAATGATTAATGTTAATATTTAATGTTACTTACTGGCCTTACAGGTAAACAAGTATAGATCTAAAAAGAACTAGTCACTGATAACCAAAGATTTTGGGTAGGAATAGGTATAAGTAGAAAATACTAGAAGGGTTCATGAAATAAAGGACGGGCTAGTCTATTAAAAAACACACACCACTAAATACAATCAAGCATACTCATCCAATTACTTGGATTCTTTCTCCCTCTTTTGGATGAGAAGACAGTTTGACATGCTATCTAAAAATGACTGTTCCATGTCCTCCTAGGGACTGAGTGTAAACTCTTGGAAAAAGGATTCACATCATGACCCAAGTCTTTTTTTTCCTTTCTACTCTTCATCCTCATCTCAAAAGAAACTATAAAACTTCCTGAGTAGTCCACTGAGTTAAACATCTTATACTCTCTTTGGAGTATCATACTATCATCTATTAGATAAAAATAATTTAAGCTACATCTGAGGATTAGAAAACTGGGTTCAGATTTACAAGGTAAACATAACTTGTAAAAAGTAAATATAATAGACTAGGAAACAAAGAGCAATATGAAAACTGGGTCAGACACAGGGTTTAGTTTTAAATTAGAAGTCTGGTCTACAAGGTTAAACATGGCTAAGACACTAACTATCAATATAACCCTTTATTGGGTATTCAAGTTAATAGAAAAAAAAATAAACTCAAGATAAAAACTGCCACATACCTCATTTTAGGCACAGATCTAAAGATACCTAATTGGGGAAAAAATGCCCACTACTTCAGGTAAAAATACCACTTATCAGAGTAAAAGCATGTTAAAATGCCTGCTATCAAAGATGGAAATAACAGCAGTTTAAGAACCAGTGTAACCATAGTTTGCTCACAAGAAGAGGAACTCCTGTACAAGATCAATCTGAGAAATTTCTACCACTCTGATTCTACCACTAACGGTGACCTTGGGAAAGTTACTAAAGTTAGAATTTTAGGCTCTTATTTGAAAAACAAAATTATTTTATCCATCTCATAAGGTTATTTTAAGTATCAGATGAAATAATGTATAAGAACGTACCTATTCTAATCCATTCTATTGAGTGTGATTAGTTGTTATTTTCTATAAAGACAATCCAAGTTCTTATCAATAGAGTAGAAGAAGATAGAGCTAATCTTTTAAGGCAAAGGGCTGCCATGATGAACCGCCTGATCAAAGTTATTTACTGTAAAATTGAACATTATACTTATTATATACCTAAAGCTGCTGATTGGATTGTACAAGCATGAATATAAAGTATCTAAAACATATGTCTGTGTGTTTTTTTATGGCAAAATTTTCTGTGTGCTCCTTTTTGGAAAGGACATTTCCATCAGTTATAAACTGCTGTTCCAATGTGATAATTTAGATCAAGGTCATTACCAACCCAGATGACCAAACCTGAAAAATATTGTTCTCACGTCAGAGACCTTGAAGAAAGAATGCTCTAATGGGATTAAAACGTCTTGCAAGGAATTACAACATGAATAGCTCAAGAAATCTTAATTTGTAAAAGGTCACAGTTACAAAAAACATCGCTCATTTCAACTAATTAAATGAAATTTTAGTTAAATGGCACCTTTAAATATTGGTATTGCAGCTGCAAGTGCATTTAAATAGCATTTACACAGATATAATTAGCACAATTAAACATGGGTAGAAGTGGAAACACCATCCTTAATTATATTGATATAATCAGTTTTATTAATGCATTATAGCAACAAAGATGACATCTGATAGTATCACACAATTCATGACTGAACCTAATATTAAACATTTTAGCATATTAAGGAATCTAAAGTTAGATAATTGGGGAAGGAAAATCAAATAATGAGTTCCTACCTGTGACGATTCCATAGTTGGGAGGTTCAAGAACTACTCCATAAAACTGGATGATGTTTCTGTGACTGAGGACACTGAGTATTTCTGCCTGTATAAAAATAAAAAATAAAATTTCACATTTACAAAAGTCTAATGAAATAGGTTCCCTATTTAATTTTCTTTTACATATATTTACAAGTTATATATATATATATACTCAATAAGTGTATATTGCTGATAAAACTCTTGTTGTTAGCAGCATTCTTGAAAGTTTAAGAATTTCTATTGAAACTTTATGAAAATTTAAAGCTGAAATGGGGTTGAAGTGGCAACAAAAGAGAAGCCAACTCGCAAGCCAGCATAACTGACTGTGAAGGAGGATGACCAAAGAGGGAGGTACCATATTTATTTGAACTGGAAGTCCTCTTTCTAATAGTCAAATATATTTCTTCTGCCTAATGTCTCTTTTTAGAGGCTGCAGCAAGATTGAACTTCTAACAGTTGGAGGAGAGGCCATGATAACATTAAGATAGAGGTTTTTAATTATTAATGGAACAGATACAAGAAATATCTATTTATATTATTTATCTAATCATTCATTAAAAGTCTTATTTCTGGCCCTGGTTATGTAGCTCAGTTGGATAGAGAGTTGTCTTCACATGCCAAGGTTGCAGGTTTGCATCAACCAATGAATGCATAAAAACAAGTGGAACAACAAATTGATGTGTGTGTGTGTGTGTGTGTCCCTTCCATTCTTGCTAAAATCAATAAAAAGTCTTAAAAATATTGTTTCTCTCCTACTGTATACAAAAGGCACTATAAAGGCTAGAAAGGTGGATTATTGACTTATAGCTCTTACTTGATAGGGAAGCCATACTTTACACTTTAAAATGCATTAAATACTAGAAAACTACTGTGGAATGATGTGGTAAAAAATAAATTACATTTATTAAGCTTAATTTCTGAAGTGAAAAAAAAAGAGATAGTACATTTATATCTGGTGTGTGTGGTACTTAAAACACCATTCCCTGATCTCCGATGTCCTCACTGACACTAAGGTTCAATGCTTCCATGAGAATATGATAGCAAAAGATAGAAAAGCGGCTCATCCAGTCATTCAGAGGAAGCAGCTTCCTTACTGCACTGTATTCAAGATCAAAAGCTCTCTCCAAAGACAGCAAGGTCTCTAAAATATCAATATGATCCCATATTTTGCAAAAAATAAAAATTATACATATGGAAGAGAGACTGGGAAGAAATTAAACAAAATATTAATTGTGGATATCACTAGGTAGCAGAAAGCTCCTAAATGATTTTAAAGGTTTGTATATTTCCAAATTTTTTATAATAAGCCTAAATAATTTTAAAATTAGAACAAGTAACACATGATTGTTATAGGTACTATGTATGACTAGAACATCAATATATATAAAAGACTAACAAGCAAATTGTCCCCTTGGAAGTTCAACAGGAGACCAGGAGTTCAATCACTTGCTATGATGTATGATGGCCACAAGGGGCGGCACGGAACAAACTAAGGCCCCAGCTGGCAACCAGAAAGAAGGCCTCAGCTAACAGCCAGAAGGCCCTGATCTCCGGCCAGGCCTACACACCCTACCCATGCACCAATTTTGTGCACCAGGCCTCTAGTATAAATATAAAAATATTTATTTGCACGGAAATTCTGATTTTTCTAGGAGAGAATTAGGAAGAATCGAAACTCTTGCCTTACATTTGCAGGACTCTTCTAGGCATATAAAAACTAGTTTAGTGAGTCTCTGAGCTGTGAGTTTCTCCTGACATGGCTCTGAAACAAGAGCTGGGTTATTCTCGGGAAGGTTCTCAGGGGCCCTGAGATCAAAGATGCAGGTGCTGGAAACTGAGTGTACTCTGGACTGAGCTCAGCCTGTTCAGTGTCTGGATCAGTGTTTTAGTAAATAATGTTCCTCTCCCTCCTTACATTTGCTTCTATGCCTGTGCCCTTTATGGAAGCATTTCCTACTTTGCTGATCTTGCAGAATGTCTAGTGTAATACCACAAGAGAGAGAAAGGTCAGGGGATTTCTTTACCCAAAACAAATAATATTATTTAAGGATAAATGAACAAATCATATTTGATGATAATGATATTTAGTGTGTTTAAATAATTGCTATAAGGCACCCATGTGAGCAAATGTTTACTCTGAACAGTACAGTGAGAAGAATGAAATGCTGGTGGGCATAGATCTGCGCCAGCATTTATTCTGTTCTTCTATTACTAAGGCTATGATCTCATAAGTATGACAGTCGATCAATTAGATAACCACAGTGGGAGCTACATTTGAAATTTGCATTTACCAGCTTACTGCTGATTTAAACTTTCAGAATGAAGACCTTGCCTGTTGCAGGGTCTGCAGCCCATGGCAATTAAATGAGCAGTTTCTTGACAGCCTTTTCCTGTTTTGGTTATACTCCAAGCATGCCCTTGCCTTAACAATGTACTTTTTCAGATTTGGAATGCAGAGGATTGCTTAGGCTTAATCCTTCCATTTCCAGTTTTCTACCCAATACATTTGCTCATTTATTTCCAAAACCGCCTCTGCAGGTAAGCCAGCCTTCTGTCAAGTACACGGTTCCCCACTCACAGTGGCAGGTGCTCCTCTGCCACGCACTGAGAAGGGAGCCCTAATTCTCAGGAGCGGGGCTACATTTTAAGCAGGTTCCCCGCTGCAGAGTGAATGTGTTCCTCTAAAATTGGTATGTTGAAACCTAACCCCAATGTGATCAGGTCTTTGGGAGGTGAGTGTCATGCGGGTGGAGCCCCTATGAATGGATTAGTGCCCTTATAAAAAAAAAAAAAAAAACCTAGGATTGTTCTCTCACCCCTTCCACCACACGAGGAAACAGTAAGGAGACAGCCATCTCTGGACCAGGAAGCAGGTTCTAATCAGAAACCAAATCTGCTAATGCCTTGATCTCAGACTTCCCAGCCTCCAGAACTGTGAGGAGTAATGTCTGTTGTCTATGTGCCTCCCTGTCTTCAGTCTTCTGTTAGAGTAGTCCATATGGACTAAGACAGTCTTCTTCATAGGATTAGGCTGGCATAAAAGTCCACAGCTACTGAACTAGGCCTCTCATGAACAGAATGGGTAAAAAGACAATGTGACTGTACTTCTCAGGACAGCATACCCCTTATCTTCGTCACCACAGAGCCCAGAGCTATTGCACATAGCGGGATATCAGGGACAAGGGAACTTCTTGATTTAAGGACTCCTAAAACAGTGTTTCAAGTCTATAAGACCAAAACACCTAGCTCTTCTTAAGGCAGGACGCGGGTAGGACTTCCCCTCCTTTCTGTTTCAGGCTCTGATTATAAAGATAACTGAGGCTGAATGCTCAACCTGAGGAATTAAAAGATTTATATGCACCAGGATAAAAACAAAACAAAACACAATGCTGTTTAATTAATTGCATTTTCACCCCAAGCGTATCATGGAAAGGGCATTTTCCTAAAAGAAAAACTTGATTCTTATACGGATGGCAAGATGGAAAACCAGGCCCTCTCCTCCTAAAAATGCAGCATACAGGAACAACTTAAAAAATAGGCTTGACTTTCAATCCTGTATTTAATCACCAGAGTGTCATGCACAGGTCATGCTCTTTGAGGCGCTTTAGGCTTAATGAGACCCATTCACTCACACGGTCACATGACAAGCAGCAAACCTCACAGTTCTGTAGGTTCTCTTTCAAAAGCTGCCCTGTAGGTATTCGGGGAAATAAAGAAGGACAAATGAAGCGAATTCAGGTTCTATAATTTGAAACAGCCTATATTCCTAATGATGTTTCATGTCACGAAAACTTTCCTCTGGAAGGAAAATGGCTAGAAATGCCCGTCATTCTGTGCACTCCCGGGGACCAGCTGAGCGGAGCCCTGTGGGATTTATTAGGAACATCCCCACTGCTGGGAGGCCTATTGCTCAGTGGTTTTCCTGGCAGGCTGCTGCAGACTCGCCGCATGTGGCCACTCGGAGGGCAGCCTGGGCTCCCCCCCAGGAACCGGGCTCCTGCCTAGTTAAGTGCACACCCAATTCAGGGCAGGCTAACCTGGCAGGATGGGAGGGTGGCTCAAATGGAAATGAAACAAATAGCAAAGATTTCAGAACAGGGATGGGAGAGCTATTTCCAATTCATCAAAAGACTAAGAGATTTTACAGCCCACAACGAAATGCCACTGTGATTGTAGGAAAAAGTCAAATAGGTTGTAAACAACTTGTATTTAGTTTGGGTGACAGAAGCATATACCAAACTCCAGATTTCCACTAAACAACTTAGGTCATTTGGTTAAAGAAGTAACTTGGTGCCAAAATTACATGGAAAAACCCCCCTAAAGGGAGCCTATAAATCAGTCCCAAAGTATGAACTAATGAAGGAATAAGCTTCTGAAAAACTGAATAGCAATATAATTTAATTAAATACTGACTACATGAGTGGAAATTTAAATTCTCGTTCCAAAATAGATGGCCCTGAAGCCACCTGGTCACCTGGACCTTGTTTTCCAGGTAAATGACTTGGTTGGACAAATTATTTTCGAGATTCTTTTATGCTTTTAAATTTCTATGCATTTCTGTAAAATAAAATAAAAAGTATTATTAACAGTTCTTTTCACAGAGTGGGTACCCAATAAATATTTGGTAAGCTGAACTGAGATAATTAATCATGATGTATCAGGACATTCTCTAGAGTCAAACAGGCTGGAACGTGAGCCTGGCTTTGTCATTACACAAGCGAGCTGACTTTGAGGAAGTTACTGAACCTTTCAGGACCTCAGGCTCTTCATTTGTAAAATGGGGACAGCAATCCTAGCCCAGTGTCCAGCAAATGCCAGGTGCTCAACTCATGCTAATCCCTTTCTCTGACAGCTTACTCTTCCTTTATAATCAGCATATCATTTACAGTGAGGTCAAGCTTTGGGAAGATCCAGATCTCTTCCAACAGTGGATTCCACCTTCATTTTCATTAGCTTTGGGTAGTTGTTATATTCGACCTTCCATGTTTACCTATGTTTTTACCCTCAATACATCACTTCAGCATGCCAAAGCACTTATCTTAGTTGACTCTCATAAAGAAGTTA